CATCTAAACAGTACTAATCTCTGGCTTTAACAGGAATAAATGCTCGTTTGGATATGCGGTGTTGGTGAGAGATGAGCTCATTTTCTTCAGTGATATGCCTGGGAATCGCGTTCACGTCATTGATGTGCAAAAAGGAAAGGTAAATGTTTTGCTGGACTAAAAAGTTCAACCCGATCGTAATGTAATTCCAACCACTGCGAGCTGTAATTAAATGTACTCAAGATCAATATCAAATATCACTTAAAGGTTTCTTAACGCTGTCTTAAATGGAACCTAAATCACCGTTTTACGTACGAACAAAGAGCTTGGCTTTTAAGAACTCTTAGAGGGCGGTTGTGGCATGGAGATTGAAAAGAAAATCCCGTTGGCTGGATGAATAATAAAGTAAACCAATACAAACAACAGGTTTGGTTACAACTGAAAGACGAAGTAGATATTAATCCTCAAATTTATGCTTTGTTTTCTGCTCTTCTCCGAGGTCATCGAAACAATTCCCACAGAGGGGTACCCATATGATCTGTATTACCTAAACTGGCTAAAAGAGGTCTGGGTTAATACCTGGACTAACTCTACCTTTGACGTCATCAAAACCGCGGGGAAACTGGAGAGGACTCACAAGGCTATTAAAGCACATGTAAAACCAGGTTAGTGCTTTCATCAGCGATTTCATGGTTTACCAAAAGCTCAAAGAGATGCAACAAAAATTAAATGTTTTTTTTTTCTGGACTACGAGTAGGCTCGATTACCAGCCGCTGTTCGGGAGAGGAGCCTGCGCTCCTCCCCCGGGGAAGAACGCAGAAAGCGGCGGAAATCGAGCCTAGACTACGAGTAGTCCCTAATTTTTCTTTTGGGACAGTAAAGAGACCGAAACACGCGAGCGCGCATGAAATTGTTTCCCGCGAGGAGGGGCTCTTCGCTATCTCCAAGCAAAATAAGGAAACATGATAGTCTTGCTAGTTTGTTCTTCCACAACCACTCAAAAGTAACATCAAAACTACGAACCNTGGCGAAGTTGGCTACGTCACTCACCTGTTCAACCCAGGGCTCCATCAACTCGACCTTTCATCCAAGTCGTACAAAGGCTTCGTTAACGTTTCCAATTATGGCTGCACTGGAACTTTGAACATTGCCTACAGCTCTGTGAACAAACACGCATTCGTTCAGTGCTATGCTTCCCGCAGATCCGTGGCATTACTAGAGATGGATCTGGCCTCTGATCAGATTGTTAAGAAGTGGAATGCTTCTGGAGCCCCCTACGCTTCACCTGATGGGCGCTATATCGTTACCCTGTACAAATCCGTAAACGAGACTGCAAACCTTCCCCTTGACAGTAAAGTCTTTGTCCTGTTCATACCTGACAACAACAGCGCCGCAGTTTTCAAATCCAAATTCGAGATCCCTGGTGGAGTAAGTAAATTGGTTTTCGACAAGAAGGCTGGCGAGCAAGGAGGCTACCTAGCTTACATCAGCCTTGTCTACAGCGACAAGATAGCTGTGATGGATCTTGATCTGCTCGAGTCATATGCCGCCAAAATCAGTTACATCGAAGGTGTGGGCAGCGTGTTTAGCGCGCCAGGCATGCACTCTGTGCACCGATCTTTGCTCGGGTCGGGGTCTTGGCTGTTGTCTCCCGCTACGGCCAACAATTCCGTTGCCATCATCAACACCGCCACACGAGAGCTGCATGGGATGGTTATGGGCGTGGTCGGGGGTAGCAGGCTGCTCGCGGTGCATTCATCTCTACCTTCGCCTAGCGGTGCTGCAGAGAAAATCTGCTGCTCACAGGAGAAGCTGATCTTTATCTTGCTGTTTTCTTTTTACAAGGCCATTGCCTGAGTGAACAAACCAGGACATTACGCTGCTGATACTACAATACAAGCGTTTAAGCTCTCGGTATATGTTAGCTTGAACACCTTCATATTCTGCGAACAAACGAACGCCTGACGAGAATTAGAGTGTACGTAGACTGTAAAGCTTTGAATCCGACTAGTAAAGCCGCTTGTAGGAGGGCATCGTGCAGTGGTTGCTTCTAGTTTTTATTGAGATATCAGAATAATAAAACACGGCACACGGTGCCTTAGAATTCTGGTGAGGTTGAAAGAAACTGGTCTATCCAAATACCACACACCCCCTCACCAGAACTTCGAAGGTTTCGCCATCACCGACTCTCCACACACTTATCTTCAACTGCCACGGAATTTCTCCAGTCTCATTTTCTCGTAGAGGACAACAACCAGAGACAGAGTACTTGCATGGTTCAATTTGATTGCAATTAATTATCTAATCTTTTATTTCTTTTGTGTCCGCTGTTCAGCTTGCAAAGATTCGGTAAAGTAGCCTTTTGGTGATATTAGTTGTGAAGAATGGTTTCATACATAGTTTGCATCCCTATTGCAACATTCAAAGCACGCGTCTTCAGTGACAACTGTCAATGCAAAACAGACATGAAGATGTGGAGATCGTTGAGCGGTAGTGAAAATAAAGCCTAAAAAATCATATATTGGAACCGCAGATTAAAAAATGAAGGTGTAAGGGATCGTCGCAGTCACAGTTCAGATAAATAATTTCATATTTTCACACACATTTATTCATCACTTGACGGGTTTGATGTGAAGTTTATATGAAATAATTCATATATGAACTGCGGTTGTAGATGATAGTGAAGAATGATCATC